GCGTGAGGGGGCGGGCACAGCGTGAGGGGGGCGGGGACAGCGTGAGGAGGCGGGGACAGCGTGAGGGGGGCGGGCACAGCCCCTAGCGCTCCCCGAGGAGGGTCGGGTCTGTGTCCAGCCCTGTCACCCCCTGCTGAGCTGGACCCACAGCCTCCCTCGGAAACCCCGGGGCCCCTCTCAGCCGCAGACCCGCTCTGACCAAGGCCTCACCCTGTTGGGGGTGCCCAGCGGATCCCGCTGGCCCCGGGGCACACTGGCACCGGCCAGGCTGGCCCAGTCTGCAGTGTCTCTGAAGGGCTGCCCGGGGGTCCGCCACGGGGCTCCCCAGCTCGGCCCTCCTCTGCCCAGCCCGAGTGCCTCCTCTCCTTTCCTGCCCCCGTGGGAGCCGCCCTCATTTGCAAGAATTACTCGGGGATCTGTGCGCCACGCCCCGTTCCCCAAGCTGGAGTACACCGGTGAGCTGCGATACAGACTCACGCTTCGGGACATCTGGGCCCCGCCTGACTCCGCTCACAGGTGGCGCGGCCCCCAGGCCCAGCTGCGCTTTTTTGGTACTTCTGTGTCCTGTCTCTTTCTTCCTCGGCTCCTGCGCCTCAGCACAGCATAAGGGACACCCCATGACCCTGTGGGACCCTCAGCCCTACATCATCTGGCGCCCAACTTGTGGGTTCCTTACGGCTGTGCTTAGCGTAGCGGCCGGAGCTACTACTGCGGAGAAGTCGGCGCTGGATTCCTGGGCGCTTGGTAAAAACAGTGGGAGTGACTTGTAACGCTCACAGTCATCATCATCTCGGGGTTACAAACTCTAATATGGCTCCTGTACCTCCTTTATAAGAACTGCTAAGGCAGGGCGGCGTTGCAGCCTCAGACAAGCTTGCTGAGCGAAATTCCTTTTCTGATCTGATCACTAACTCCATCACCCTCTGAATGGGCTGCTCCCCCTCCTGTTGCTTCCTCAGGGTGCAAAACACTTCAAGCCCTCTCCCAAGGAGTAGGGTGTGACTATGCGCTTTCTCAGCACCCTGTCCTGCCTTCTGCTCCTTTACTTGCCTCTATTTTTCAATCTGCCGGCGCGCAAATAGGTGCCCCCATGAACTCTAACTCTACTAAATCGTTAAAACAATCCGTGCCGCAGGGAGCTCGCGCCATGTGGGGTGGAAGCGTGGCCAGGCCCTGTTGCGCAGTGCGGAACCTGCGCGAGTGTGCGGTGGTCCCACCCGCGGACGGGAAGGATGATGACGTTTAAGCAGGTCAGGGATATGGTGGGAGGGGCTCGCGGTTTTAAGTAGGGCTGCCTTGGGTAGCGACCTGGAGGAGGCGCAGAGGGGGTCGCGGAGGGAGCAGCAGCAGCTGTGCGGAAGCCCCGGGATGTGCCTGCTAGGCCGCAGGCTGGCCAGGAGGCCGAGAGCCATGAGGGCGAGAGGGAGGGGAGGGGAGCAGAAGCAGCTTCATGGGCATCAGCTCGGGCTGCGGTACCCCGTCCCAGGCAGGGGTCCCGGGAAGCAGATGCAGCCTCGCCTTGGAGACACATGGTCTGCTGCAAGGTGAGACGCCCACAGAGGCCTGAGTCCCACGGGGCTGGAGCCGCTCGGCCACCCGCTGATGTAGAGCCCAGAGGCTGCAGTGAGGGCGGGACGGCCCGAGGGTGGGTTCTATCAGGCTAAGGCAAGGCCCTGACCCTGCCTGTGAGACCACGTGGCGGTCCTCACCCCTCCTTCCTGCCCTTCTGGGTGCGAGCCTGGTATTTACCTGCCTTTCAGCTCTGTGAGGAGGATTAATTAATTACTGTTAGCAAAGTGCCTCAGAGGTGAAGAGCTCCCTGCAAATGCCACGTCTCCCGTGGTGGAATCCTTTGTGGAGGCAGTTCTGGGAGGGGTGCTATTTGCAGATGGATAGCTGGGTTTTCAGTTGTGAAAATTAAAGTCGCACTAGTTTAAAATTGCATTTTGATGTGACAGATGCAAGCCTTCCCCAAACGCCCCCAGGCCTCGAGGAGCTCACACGGCTTCAGCAGGAGGGACTGAAAGACTGCCGGGGTAGTCGTGCAGTGCACAGCCTGTGCAACTGTGTGGGGTGACCCTGTGGGGGCAGACAGTGGAACAGAACTCATGCACAACACGTCAGGTGACAAACCTCGAGGGGAGGAGCGAGGAAGGGGCAGGGAGGGCGCAGGGCAGAAGCGGCAGCATCTTGTCAGAACAGCGCCCGGCTCAGGGCTGAGATACCCCAGGAAAGCCGAGTTTGCGTGGAGACGCTCCTCTCACAAAGAGGGGAGCCTGCACAGGGGCACTCGGCCCCGGCTCCTGAAGGCTACAGTGGGTACCCCGGCTCCGGGGCCAACCCATCGGCAAGGCTGTAGGAGCCTGGCAGCGCAGGGGGGATGGTGGAGTGGGACCCGCTGAGACCAGCTGTCCAGCCTGTCCCGGCCCTTACCAGCCTGTGTTGAACTCAACGTGGGCATCGAAGAAGCCGACGACTGGGGCGGTGGCCGCCTTCCAGCCCTGCAGCCGGGCGCGGATCAGCCCTTCCCTCCGGCTGTTTCGGACGATCTTCACGAGGCCCGGGTACCGCTTGTTGACGTACTGGTCCAGATTGAACTTGAGCTCCACTGAGGAGAGACAAGACTTCAGCGTGCTGGCCGGCGCGGGGCCACTAGACCTAAGCCAGAAACGCCGCGTGGCCCGTGTGTGATCAGTGTCTCCTGAACATTCGTTTAGGACCCACTGGGTTGCACACAGTTCAGTGTGGGAGGCCACAGAGAGACCAGACCCCAGCCTCATGACGCCAACATTCAGTGGGAGACACGGCAAACGGAAACACACCAGACCAGACAGCGTCCAGCGCTGTGGAGACGGAGATACAGAGCTGAGCAGTCAGCCACAAAAACCCAAGTCCGTGGATAGATGGGTGAATGAACAAACGTGGCCTCTCCACACAACGGAACCCGCTCAGCCAAGTCCATGGACAGATGAGTGGATGCACAAATGTGGCCTCTGCATGCTGGAGGCAGGGGCTCCTGAGGGAGCTCCCTTGACCACGGGCAGGACACAGGTAGCCGAGCTGGACCACACGGTCCTCCCCACACACCACCCTGTCCAGCGAGATGCGGCTCAGGAGGATGGCCACACCATCCAATCCTCTGTACACAGACCCAGTGTAGACGGTGCTGCCGGGCGGGGACCCTGCTGCAGGCCAGAGCTGCCTCCACAAGGGGTTGGGAAGGGGCTGCTCATGTTTCCCGCCCTTTCCAGAGGGAGCGTCATGGCTGCGGGGTCTCTGCTCTGCACCTGGGAAGGGCGGATGGGGGCCAGTGCTGGACCCTTGTTTGGGGTTTCAAGCCTGTGTGCTGGAGGGTGTGAGTAGCGCTGCCCTCAGGCGACCTGGGGCTGAGGAGGGTGGTGCTGAGGAACCCGTGGGCTTGGGCACCAGCCTCGAGCTCCGTACAGCTGGGCTCCCGTGCCAGCCTGAGAGGCGGGAGGCGTGACCGGCGGCTAGGAGAGCTCAGCTCTGCTGGCCTCTCTGTGGAGGGGGTGCGGCTGGCCCCAACTTCACCTCCACCCGGAGCCTGAGCAGGGGCTTGTTTGGAAGCAGGAACTTCGTAGCTGCATCTGGCTAAGGATCTAGAGATGAGGTTCTCCTGGATTTGGGGTGAGCCCTGTATCCAGCCTGGGTCCTCACGAGAAAAGGAGAGGACGCGGACACATGGGGAGAGGCCACGTGATGCTGGCAGAGAGGCATGGGCAGCCAGTCACGCACGGGGACGGCATGCAGCCACACGGAGGCTGGAAGGCAGGAGGGACCCCGGAGGCCTAGAGGCCCCGAGGACAGGCGGGTGCAGTCCCCTGTCACAGCCATCCTGGGAGGCTTCACCCAACCCCAGCTTCACCCGGCTTCAGGCAGCTGACCTGAGCCCCGTGCCGAGGCCCAGCCACTCACCGTTGTCACTGTTGTCATCCACCAGGATGATCTCCTTGAGCAGCTGGGAGGGCGTGTGGTTGACCACGCTGTGCACGGAGCGCAGGATGACTGACAGCGCCTCATTGACGAATATGAAGACCACGGAGACCTGGGGCAGGTCCCGGGCGTAGGTCATCTGTCGGCACCTGCAGGAGACATGCTTTGAGACGTGGGGGGCGGGGCATGTGGGACCCTGGGAGCCACGTGGACCCTGCGAAGGTCAACAGGATGAGGCTGTGACCCATAACCAGATGCCAAGGGGGGTCAGAGCTGTTCTAGAAAGAAACTAGTAACGGTGACACGGCACTCAGCGCCACGTGGGCCCTGTGCTCACATAGTCCTCACAGCAACCCCAAGAGGAGCCAGTTGTCCCCGTCTGCAGTCAGCAGCCTCCCCTGTGGGCCCTGAGGGCGGGTGCTGGGATTCCAACCCCAGCCCTGCTTCAGGAGCTTGTTGGGGACGGCGCTGCTGGGCACAGCCCAGGAGCCGCCCCCCACCCCGCCCCCCACACACCGGCAGCCACTTCCCGCCCTGGCTCACAGCTGGGTTCTGAGCCTCTGGCGAGAATTTCAAAGGGACATGGGCTGCCGACGTTGCGGGTCCATTTTTTTTTTTTTTTTTTTAACACATCTTATTTTATTCAGATAGCAGCCTGATCACACGTGGGCCAACAACACTCAAATAATACATCAAATATAACCAGATGTTAAAGATTGGTCTTCAAACATCATAGCCAATGATGCCACGCTTGCCTGTGGTCTCTCCGACATAAAACCACATCAGCACCTCAGTGGCCACCACACCATTCAGTGCAGCTTCCTTAACTGTGAGTTGTTTGAAGCTACAAGGCTGAGCACCCTTGACTATTTCTCACAGGCTCCGAATAGCTCTAGGATCTCAGCAGGGGTGGGAGGAATCAGCTTAACCTTGGCGTAGTACCAAAATGTGGCCAACTGAGGCTTCAAATAAGTCACAGCAGCGTTCACCAGCGCCGGGGTCTTCTCCACAAGGTTACGGATAAATTGGGCCGTGGTTCTGGGATGGAAAAGCCGTCGCATTTTTACGGGCTGTGGTGCTCCGCTAGGGAGATTTCATCACTCAGAAAAATGCTTTCTGACAAGGAGACTTCACTCCATTTGTCTGTGGAGGAAAAAGCTTGGATTGCACAATTTTCAGGAACTTGCAAAATGTGTAAAACAAAAAATCTTGAGAGAGGAAATACATCTTAAGATGGGCTGTGGGAGCAGCCACAGGTTGGAAAGGAGATGTTCTGGATGGGGAGCAGAAGCACCCCAGAGCCCAGGGGGAAGGGGCAGGCTGCTCAGAAATGCTGTGGGGAGCCCCGTCCCACGGGGGCCCTGCTCACCGACCTCAAGCGCACGCTTGCCTGTTTGTTCCTGCGGGGTCTGTCTCCCACAACCAGAACGTGAGACCCCAAGAGCAAGCTCCTTTCCTGTCCTGTTGACTGCTCTATACCAAGAACCCAGGCTGTGCTCAGCACACAGTAGGTACTTTATAAACATCTGTGTAATGAGTGGATGAATGAAGACTCAAGAGGCCCCACGCGCACCGGCTGGGCCCATGAAGTACTCATGCCTGCCGCCTGCCGCCGTAGACGCACGGCCCAGCCCCCAGTCAGAGCCGAGGAGGAAGCCGCTGGCCTCCGGGGACACTGGTGGACCGCACCCCTTCCTTCTCCCTCCGTTACTAGGTCAGGAGGCCAGGCGTGTCGGGCTTGGTTGTGGGGCCGTGTGCACCTGTGCTGAAGAACTTTCCAGCAGCGAGGACAAATAATTTATGGCATGATCATTCTCAGGGGCCTCCAGCCTTTTCAGACTTCACAGCGAGGGCAGGGCGGGGGCAGAGAATCCCCGTGTCACCTGTGGGCGCTCATTTTTAATGGCCTCTCATTTGATTTGAATCCGTGTCCAGAATCCGTGTCCGGTACCCACTCTTCGCCCTTTTTCTACTGATCTCAGCCGCCACTTGCTCTGTAAACAAGCTGCCTGCATGGAACGCAAGGCCCGCCTCCTGCAAGCTCATCGCCGCAGGTGTGAGAGATGGACGTGAGCCCCCCAGACACTGGCCACACGGCGGAGTGTGTGAGGCGCCCAGGAGCTATCGGGGCAACAGAACCTTCCAGATACACCCCCTGCTCTCCACTCAGCAGGAACGTGGAAAAGCCAAGCTAGGCTGGCCTAAGCGAAAAGGGGCTTGGAGATTCACCCACAGGAAAAGTCCAGGTGCGTTAGGTTGTTTGGTTTCAGGCCCAGCTTGGCGGGGGACCAGAGCTCATCGGCAGGACACGGGCCTCTGTCTGCCTCTCTTGGCTCCACGCCTTCTAGCTGGAGTTGAATCTCAGGAAGGCCTGTCCGCGTGGCTGAGGCTGTCTCCCCGCAGACCCAAACCTTCCAGGGGTCTGAGCCAGGAAGTCAAGTCACTGGCCCTGGATTTCTGCCCCAGCCTTTTCCTCCTGTCCCCTGCTGGGGACAAGGGAGAGGCCACAGGCAGCAAACCATGGCGAGGCGGTCTTCCCTGTGGAAGCCTTTTCTTCTGTGCTGGGCTGAGTAGTATCCCCCTCCCACAACCCGAGACACGGTGTCAGCAGGACATGGCCTCTGCCTCCGATCTCCGAA